TGTGACTTCATTAGCACGTATATGCTCTCGAGATTACCTGAAATAAAGCGCAGCGGAGTTAGTTAACGAAATAATTAATTATCAAAGCGAAACACGATACCCACGGCATCATCAAACGCTGGATCAATTATGAATTTCAGTCGTTGTTCCCACAATACCTTTCCTATACATATTCGATGAAACGTGTTTTAAGGAAAAATCAATGTATTGCACGAGTTTAAAATTACTTGCCTGACTGGAGTCCAGAAAAAGTGGATTTGTACTAAATCCAAGCAGCATCAGTCAAGACGCGACCCGACAACATCGCAAATCGTAGCAAATAAAAATAGACTCCCCCGCACGCGTACAAGAACCCATTTGCGGTATTACTCCAAGATTGGATGGTATCCCGCTCCGGTAGGATCACCTCCCCACACCCATCTGTTCCATCTCCTTGAGCAATCGGGCGGGCCGAGCTAACGAAATCTCACCCTTACGCTTGCAATTAATGTCCAACGTGCCACGGAGGACTTTTATCCCCCTTTGCACCTACTATTTAAAAAACACCAAAAAGGACTAACCTCCTTGATTCTTTTCTTCTTATTTTATCAACTTGTCCTGGTATCGCAATCAGCGATTGGATCGGTTTTCCAAGAAAAACGACGGCAAAGTTCAAAGGGCAGGGCATCTCGTTTGGGAAGAGATCGATGAAGCTGGTGTACATCGGCAGGAGCAAAGTGGACGGGTGACCGAGCGTCCGGCAACGATAGCGCCCCGTAACAAGTGCTTCCACGTCGTCCGGATGGAGCGGAAAGTTTAATTCCCTGTCTCATCGGCGACGGGAAAAGTTGTCGCGAAACACACCCTCCGTACTCTCTTTCCACCCGCCGTCCCGCGAAACTTAACCCGGACTCATCGTCACGAACGCTTGAACGGATATCGATCCCCGCCTCGTGCCCCGTACACTTTATACCCACTCTATGATACAAAGTGCTCCCCATCCCCGGCCACGGGGCCATTATTACGGGAATGATCGTTACTTTTACGCGAAATAGGGGGCCCATCGCCCGCGGACGAGCCCGTTATCGAGAATCGTTATCCGACCGGTAGGGAGAGCCGCATCCGCTTACCGATCCCTCAAGTGCCGCGATAGCCCTCGATGAATCTCGACTAGCCTCAGGTGGTTTTATATTTTTCTTCAATATACGCCGCTGTTTGTACTACGGGAAAACGGAAAAGGATTTTTCTTTTCTCTGCTCTCCTCCTCGCGTGTATAGTCGACTCGATGGTTTTTGGAGAAAGAAAAAAAAAAAAAAAATCTTTCACGTTTCGTTATTGCGTTTATTGTGTCTTCACATAGAAGATATTAATGTTTGGACCGTCAACAGCTCGAGCGCGGGTGGACCTGTTGTGAGCGACGATGCCCAGGCTGATGTAAAACATCGATCCGTTCGTCAAGAGTCGCGGGGCTCTTTTTGTTCTCCCGCAGGTTGAAGTTTTGCGAAAAAAACAAAAAGAAGCGAATAAATTACTTTGGAGTTTTTCGACGCTCGATCGTTCAACAGCAACAACACACGAGAGTGTGCGCACGACGTGTATACGCAACGTGGCTCGATTATGTTGCCCGCGAGCGATGAAGGATCGAGCGAGGGGACCGACCGAGAACAGTAATAACAGCTGACCATTCATCCGTCCGTCGGTTTACCACACGAGCGTGCATTACGTGGGTACACTCGGCCATAATTAATTCGGTTCAGGCTACGACAGCGCATTAGAATCGTTATTGTTGCAGTGTGGAGATAGGGGTGTACATACATGCATATATAGGTGTGCATCGCGCTGAGCCCTTTATCCGCGACTCCGAGGGGGCTCAACAAATAAACCTGGCCTCGTGGCCTCCAACGGTGCCCTCCTTGCTGGAATATCTCGGATATTTTCGCTTAGAGCTGGGACACAGGAGCCGCGCGGCGAGAAGGAACAAAAAATCCCCCTCGTAAGTAGTACAAGCGCGCTTTAGTCAGACAAACTCATGGATTTTTAAATATGAACTTTTACGCACGAAATTCACGCGACTATTTGAACAAGACATGAATCTGAGTGAAAAATGATGTTGCTTCTTTAATTTGCCTTTTAAAAAAGTTTACTGAAAAGGTTGAAGATTAAAAACCATCAAAAAATAGTGAAAAAAATGCGTCCCATCCGAACTCTTGAAAAAAGGAGTTTGGTTTTTTTACAAGCGTTCCAAGAGCTATGCAGTTATGTAAAAGATGATGGTATCGAGCAGCACGTGTCTACAAGTGATTCTTCAAAGTCGAATGGTCGATGAAAGAAGAGAGAACGAGGGAAGCAAAGGGTTCGTTTCAGCGGGGTGAAATTTCTCGTCTTCCTGCCGCGAGTGAATTATGCTAGTGCCAATTTTCTCACACTTACCTTTACATACATCCATGGATGTTCGTTTATACGAAGAGATCTTATACAACTTTGAGGGATTTTCGATTGCTAGAGATCCACCGACGTGCGTGTCAGATAAGACGAGCACTGGAAATCCTGCGTGTAATCCTGAACCCAGAATCACAGTTCCATTGGGATAGCATTGAAAAAAAGTTAACCGCATTACATGCTCGTTCTCTGTTACTATTACGACCACAAAGGCTACACGATTGCAGGACACAATAAAAGTTTTTTATTTGTCCAGTGTTTCTTTTGTCCCAAGGCATGTCTTGGTGGCCAATCCCTTTCACAATGACTTCGAGCCATTAATCAGAAACGCAAATGAAAACCAATCATTGAAAGTAGAAACTCACGTAAAAGCTGCAGCGATCCGTATGGAGATATTCCAGCGATAAAACTGAGGCCAAGCCCAACGCGCACCTGCATCCCAGGATCGACCAAAAAAAGTCAAGTGGGAGAGAAAAAAATCCACAACCGGTGCAGCAATTCTGCAGACAAATCAATTGTGTCCAACGACTGTAAGCGCGCGCGCGCGCAAGGGTCTTCCTTTCCATCTCGCGCTTATCTAGCTCGCTCCATCAACGAGAAGGAGGAGGCAGTAAATGTAATGAGATCGGTGGACGGAGGGAGAGTCGAGCCTTCGGCCAATTGAATTCGGTGCACGTAGCCCGAACCGGGACTCCCGAAATACAGAGAGGGAGGAAGAAACGGGTCGCGGGCCGTTATCTTTGAAAACTCGGCCAAGTATTACAAGGAAGGGGAGGGCAAAAAAAGGGGGGTAGCGTCTTAATTTTCCTCCCGCTCTCGCTTGTTTTCTTTTCTTGCCTCTTCTTCTCTCCCTCTTGCCCCTCGAGACGCGATTTATTTTGCGTGCGTTTAAATTACGAAATCGCTGGCGTAACGATGACGAGGCTGAGCATTGCCTTCCTAACGATGGTACACGGAAAGGATGAATTTAATGCTCAAAGAGGGTAAACAAAAAAAAAACAGCAGCCACCTCGAGTATACCCGACCTTTGACGTCATTTGAGAAAAGTGAGGGAGCGTGACTCGTGCAAGACGCGGTGTCGCGTTTACCTTGAATCCGAGGCACTCGTTACCTAGAGGGCCCTTTGAGTTTACGATTCTGTTGGAATTTTCAACGCGATGGTGGTGGAAAAAATCCCAACCAAGGCGTTGGAAAAACTATTCTCGAGATCGGTAGTTTTTTGGAAAACACGCGTTTTACCAATTTTCGTATCGTCCAAAAGACACGTGGGGTAGGGGGGTTACTTGCAAAACCACAGGAGCAAAATTTACTTCCCGCAAGCTCTGCACGCCCACCGCTTAATACGAGCAAAGAGAAAGGGAAAACGTAGAATCTCACAATGGCAGGCCACCGGAGTAAGACTTTGCGGTGGCGAACTCTTGCAAGCTTCCTCTCAACCACCCCCTAAGCGACTCTTCTTGCTGAAGCCGTTGTCATTGCGAGAGACGCATGAATTTCGCTGTTGGTCCGTGCCGAGTGACCTCAGCTTTTTTTCTCCACCCACCCTTTTATACCTCTACCCCCACTGTGGGAGGGGGGCTCAGCGGAAACTGAAACGTTAATTACTTCGTAAACATTTCGGGTAATTGTGTAGCGCTCGCCATTATTTCGCCGAGATTCTTTTTCACCGCGACCGAGCACAGGACGGGGGGAGGGAGCGGGGCGTAAAGAAGTGGCGCGTCCCGCGAGCTAGGATTTTTTTGATGCATAATGATGTCGAAAAATCGGGGCAGCTCGTTTGTTTTGGGAAATTTTAATTGCGGGTCTGGGCTCGGGTTGCGTTCGAGTGGGTAAGCGAATTGGGTCGAGTTGGGAAAACAAGCGCGTAATTTGCGCTCAACTAAAAATTACGCTTATAAAAAGCAACGAGCCCTGCAACCTATTGGTGTCCCTGTGGCGGGAAAACGATGTTGTTGTTTGGCTTATTTACACGCTCGTTGGGTAGTTTTCTTTTTTTTAGAGAGGATTGGATCTCGCGATGGTTTCCCGATCGGTCGATTGGCTCTCTCTTACTCCAGGAAACGGACAAAAAGAAAAGCTCCTCTTTTTACCTTTGACATTTAAATTACTAGACAATAGCGAGTAAAATGATAGCGGCATACGGAGCGTAAAACTTGATTTACCTATCCCTCGCAAAATCTGTTGACGAAAATCGGGTTGTCATGTTACGCACGTACACATCCATACATACATGTATACACTCGGTATCCTCAGGAAATACGAAACTAATGCTCCTCTCCGCGAGCAAGCCGGACGGGAGAGCTAAATGCATTAGACCTTATTTCCCACCGCGCATACGTTGTTTTGTCGCTCCGCTGGTATACACACTATTCTAATTCCGGGCGCGTGATGGTCTCCACTTTTGTGGGCTTGGGAAACTCCGTTGCGCTTTTTTCTCTCCACCCAAAGCCCAAAGTTTCTGTACACGTAGAGGAATAAAGTATACGCAAACAACTTGTGGAGCCATGTATATGTGTATAGAATGAAAACAAAAAAAAAATTGTTTGTTAGCTTATTCTAATTAATATCGAAATTGTTTCCAGTGCAAGAGATCTGGGCGACAGAGGGCGAGGACGTCGAGCTCCCCTGCGACCTGAGGCCGGACGGTCGAGCAAACGACACAGTCAGCATGGTGCTCTGGTTCAAAGACGACGCTGGAATTCCTCTGTACAAGTAACTAAACCTCCTTTTCCAATGTTGTAACGCTCTCTTGGTAACAATGTCAAAGGCGCCCTCTCGAGTGTAACCTGTATTTATACAACCCTCGGGATGCTTTGCGCTCCATCGTAGGCAAAAACCAGAAAATCTTTTGCAAGAAATTTTGTGCGATATCATGCCGCGACTCCAAAATCCTAAGACTTTGCACGGATCTCTAGCAGTTTTCCACGTCGTCTCGTTGCCAAGAGAGAGTCACGCGAGAAGAGAGGAAGAGAAACAGAGAAGCAGCGCGCCGAGAGATGCCATTGTTCCCAAAGTTGTATCTCGAAATTTCTCGACGTGCCCCGAGGACGCGGACCCTCGTTAGCCCGGCTCGGAGAATATATATATATACGCGAGTGCCCCAGACCAAGAGAGATCCTCGTGTCCTGCCTTGCTACTCGCGAACCGCTGTCTGTTAATTTACTCGGACTCCGCGTGTATCATATTATTATTATTGTTATTATTATTATTATTTAGCTCGCGAGAGGCGAAGAATCACCTGCACGTCTACGTATGTATCTCGAGAATCGCCTTACCCCCGGCTGAGCCCGTATACCGCGAGTATGCGAGGGTATTAGAGTATACTCACGGTTGAATCGACTCTGACTACGTTAGCAGGAAATTACCTCTCTCTCTCTCTTTCTCTCGAGGGCACTACCACTCGCGTCAGCGTTGAAAACGCGATGTGTGTGTATTTGCGAAATGCTCTCTCTCTCTTATATACACTTGGCGCAAGTGTAGTCCAAGAGTACACGAGTATAAGTGCAGCTAAAATCCTTGGGGTTGGCTCAGCAAAAATTCCTACAACTGCTTTGTCGTTACCACTACATGCTTGGACTGCATTTTAGGTTGAGGGTCCTTTCATGCATTTTTTTTTTTTTTTTTTTTTTTTATTATTATTATTAAAAAATTGCGTTTTACGTTGAGTTGTTTATTACAGTTCAGCAATTAGCGTAGCTCCTAGAAGGTTCCTCCAAGGTAATGACGATTAACTTGTACTTTCATTGGTGGAGTAGAGCGCGTAGATTTCTCAAACAGCTCCATCCAACTTGGTTCATTTTTTATGGAGGTCCGGTAAAGGCGCCAGAGCGCGAGGCAAACTCAATTAGGTCGGATTTCGTTTGGCACGATGAATGTACCCTGCAGCGGTGGGCATCCCCTGCACGGGAGCCAGAGGAGGAGGAAAAAAGGGAAATTGAAAATGGGCACTTCCGATTCGCAAAACAAGTCCCGCATCTCGCGCTCCCCCTCGTTGGAGGAGGGGTAGGGGGTGGAAAGTTTAAGCGAGTTCAAAAGAAAATCATGGCACTCTAAATGCGAAATGATTCGGGTGACGGGCGACTTGCTCGGACTTTGTACCGGAACGCGCCGGAGCTCCTAAATAATACAACGGCGCTACTCTCTCTCTCTCTCTCTCTATTATCCGGTTGTTCCCTTTATACACTCACATAGACGTGCTATACGACATCGGTGTCTTTGTTTTTCTTTTTCCATTCAATTTTCCGATCCATCTGGTTTAGCTTCTCTTTGTCTCTCCACGCGCATCACTGCGTAGGTAACTCTTTTTTTTTTTTTTTTTTTTTTCTTTTTCTCTCTTCTGTCTGGGGCCCTTTTCTCTCTTTCATTTCTCCAGAANTTTTATTCTTTTTTTCTTTTTCTCTCTCTCTCTCTCTCTCTTTGTGATATCTCGCGATCTCGGCTCACTGGTGCTTTCGGTGCTCGCCGAGCCGACGTTTAAGTGCCTTTCGCTGTTGCACGAGCGCAGTGCGTGAAAAAAGAAAAAAAAAACAACAACAACAACTTACGAGCGCGTATTTACGTACTTTTACGTCCAACTGCATAATATAACAACGGGAACAAAAATCTCTACACGTATCTCTGAGCTCACTTTTTTCAATAGCCTCGCATACATGTACGTATACGCGCTCCAGAAGTCCCTGATAGAGACGCACAAGAGGATGGAGAAGAGACGCGTGTATATAACGTATAATGGTCCCGCTGACGGGCAAAAAGGACGGCTTTTAATAACCAAAAGCTTCCAGCCTCCGTCTATTTCTTCCCAATTTTTTGCCACCCGACTTCCTTGGGTGCCGCCCCCTCCTCGGCTCTTGTACTTTGCGAAAATGAAAGGGCGCGCGTCAATCAAGTCTGTGCCCGGCTCCATTAGCGAGCGGAATGATAGACCTAGAAAGAGAAAGACGGGGAGGACGAAAGTTGGGTCGTAAAGCTCCTGCGAAGAGATATATACTATATACCGCGTGACCAAGGAGTCGGGAGTGGAAATATCTAGTGGGACTGCAGTGCGCGCACACTGTATGTACTATATGTGCCCAATAATGTTTCCTCCCCACTCGATAAATAAATCTCACTGGTACGATTGTAAATTAGTTTTTTTTTTCTCGTATCAAATTAACCACACGAGTCACGTCAAGATTGTGAAAAAGAAAAGCAGATACTTCGTGTAAGCGAGATATCGCAAGGTGCATCTGGGTGGCAATAATAAAATAAGCTCTGAAAAAGCTCGGGAAAGGAAACTCGGGGTTCAGCTCCTCGGCGCCGAATTCCCATCGATTACCCGACTTTCGTGCTTGTTTTTCATTTCGCAGGCGCTTGCTCCTCCGCGTGGTTTTTTTCCACTTCTGCGGAGGAGCAGCTTTTTCTTCCAGTACCTATGTATACGCGCCGAGCCGCAAAGAGGAGAAAATGGAAAATAATTTGCGCAAAGACTCGACGCTCCCGGGAGAATAATAGCGCGATCGGAGCCTTATATATATACATATATGTTTGTATCGTGATCATCGTGTAGATACCTGTATGTATGCGTGCGTGTACCCTGGATAAACGGGAGCGAGGAGGATGCGTAGGAAAATAAATAATGGAAAGCGCTTAGAGGCCCGCCGCACTGGTGGCGCTTTTTCACGGGCAAATTGAATTTTCATGGTGTTTTCCATACTCACGAAGAGGGCGGCCCCCCCCCCCCCCTCCCTTCCTTTCTTCCTTCGCCCGCCATCTGCCCGACTATTACTTTCTTAAGGCGATGCGATTATTTTGAATAATAAAAGCCCCCCCCCTGCGCTCATAATGGCCCATTGAACTTTGCGATTCCGTGCGCAGCCTGTGCTCTCGGGCAAGAATTTAAGAAACGATAAGAGCCTTCACCCCCAACCCCCTTTTTTTCTCCCCCAACCGTTATTCTTCTCTACTGTTGTTGTTTCTTTTTTTTTTTTTTTTTTCTATCCGAGCTTCACTTTTACACCAACGAGCGAGAATATATCTCCAAATTGATTAACGCATTAGCCACGCCGAACCACATCTTGCTCCCTCCATGTATATACCCCCTTCTTAATTGTCAGACACGCCGGCAAAAGAGCTTTTGAGGATCCTCAACTTAATTTCGATCCAATATTGTCACCTGAAGAACATCCCGACGTCGTTAATGGCCCTTTGATGACCACCCGAAAAACATGGGAAAGCCAGGAGGTCTCGTACTTTGAAAGCGATTATCTTGTTTCCGTCGAGTAAAAAAAAAATGTGGGGGAGGAAGTAAGGGTACAACAATTCCCTAATCTATGCGCAAGGCACCGCAAGTTTGTCGACAAACACGTATATAACAAGATGGATGGTATTGTCAGTCTTTGGCACGCAAACCTGCAATTGCACGGGACAATCAAGAATCAATTGAAACTGCCGTCGTGGACGAATTGCTGGTTGAGTTACAGCGGCCAATTCTTGTACCCCACAATATATATACATGTACGTGTATACATTGACCCATCCTTCCTGGCGGACAAGCAAAACTTTGGCCAATTCCTTGCCTCTGCACCGATATCGGAAATAAATCTCGTTACCCACACATAGTCTCAAACTTTCATCCACCGATGTGTGTACCTCCGTCACAGTTTTGCCACTATTGAAATATCTCTGCACCGAAAGCAGGTATTTCTCGCTAAAACTCCTCCTATCCCGAGTCATCTTCTTCAAAGAGAACAATTCGGTTTTCGGGGTATAAATACAAAGATCGCGACTCATCTGGTATTAAATGAAACGACAAAAGCACGCCGATCCGGGGGGTGCTGTGTAGCCACGAGAGAATCGCGTTAAAATATTTCCGCGCAAAAAGCGCTTTCAGCGCGCCTCATCGTCTGCGCGAAAGCTCTTTTTATAAAAGCTTTTGAAATTAATCATAATAAAAAAAAAAAAGAACCATCCGTGTGGATGGTTGGCACGTTTCGAAGTAACAACGCAACGGCCACTTTGTTGGAGAAGAGCTGTTGTATTTTCGAGGCCAATACGTACAACAATGGGCAACAGACTCGCGCTCTTAATCCCATTGACGTGCAACGCGGAGAAGGACAGGGCAATCCTCGCAAGGCGATACTTGGCTCGATCGTTCCGCCGAGAGTCGAGCGAACGGCTCGGGCCATTCCATTTTCCCGTAGCACCGACACAGGTGTATTATGTACAAGTGCACCGTCGACGGTCAAACAATCAGACCGAGCTCCTGCGAGGATACACCTGCTTTTAAAAATCTTATCACGCGTCCGCCTGGACCTAATTTCCCCCGGACACTTTTTACCCCTCCCCCCCCCCCC